AGCCCATGGATCGCCCCCACGGAATCCTTCTAGAAGGCCTATCCGACGGCCGCAGTTTGGCGTTAGGGTTAGATCGACGGTGGACGTTTGGCGCTAGGGTTACATGGGGTTTGGAGGCAGTCAATGGGGTTTTGAAAGGTTTGACCGAACATTCAAATGTGTATAACTAATTCAAAAAAAATCTAAAAAATGAAAAACCTGCGCATATAGCCTTTTTATGTTACATAGTTATGATATAAAATGATAAACTTGATCTAATGATCTTTGCTTGAAAAAACCTTCACAAATTGGACTATCTCGACTGAGGTTGCATGGAGTTCACAGGAGTGAGAAGAGGGTTTGAGGTTTTGAAAATGCAAAAAAATCAAAAACATCACCTTAGCTTCATTTTAGAGTGACTAAGGAGGATCTGAAGTTATTTTTGCATTTAAAATTTTTAAACTTGTTTTATTGCTAACTTTGTATTAAAGGGTGTTTTTTCAAAAATAAATTAAATAATATGAATACTTATTCAAAAAAGGTGAGACTTCGTATTGATCCTATATAGGTATAATATAAGCTAAGAAAATCTTTTTTGGGTGATTTTGAGAAGGTCGAAAAAAACTTGCTTAGAAATGGGGCCGTTTTCCCTTACTTTGGAGCCTGTTTGGTCAACATTGTCCGTGACTATGAGTTGGAATTCACAAAAAGGGTTGGATTTATGAACTAAAGTGCATAGTAGTACATAAAACGATGCAACATCACAGAACAAACAAATGAACTCAAAAAATATTGAAGATAGGTTCAAATTTGAATATCGGTTCAAATTTGAATTTTATTTCAAGTCAAATCAACATCATAGCACATAAGTTATCACATGAAAGAACATAAGTTTTCACATCAAATGACAACAAACTTAAGTTTTCACATCAAATTTGAATGTTTTCGACTCTATTTCTTCTGCTTCTTTCTACCACTCGATTTCTTCTGCTTTTTTCCACCGTTTGGTTCCACGGCGCATAGTTTGTTGATGCTGATGCTCTTGCTTTTTGGCCCCCTCAACTTTTGCACCTGACCATGTCTCACTTCTTCAGTTTGCACTTCTGCAGATTGAGTAGATGGCACACATTGTTCAACTACTTCAGTTTGCAACTCAACACTTGGCAGCACAACCTCCAAACATGGCAACACAGTTGTCAAAGCAGATTCGAATGGTAGCACAACAGTTGCTTCATCTGCAACAGTTTCAGATTGCCCTAGCGTCTGCAAAACAGATTCAGTATGCATCACATCATCCAAAACACAAATACTTAGCTCATGTTCAGCAGTAACAGTTTCAGTTAGCTCCATATCTTTGTCACCAAACATTATCTGCTTAGTGCTCTTCCTTCTATAGCCACTGAGTCTTGCTTTTTTCACTGGCCAGCATTGTTCAACAACAAGCGGTGGGGCTTTTTCTGCACGCTTCCTCCTAAAAAATAAAGCATTTGACTTGGTTAGATACTAGAACAAGTAGCAAAATCAAAAACTTGCAAAAACAGTAACATAAACATACTTTGGCCTCTGAGGAGTGTAGATGCACTTGGATGAACCAATTCTGTGCCCAAGTACCTCACACAACTTGCACCTATTTTTGTTACCTTTTTGAGCCCTTTTGGGCTTATCATTCTTTTCCTTTTCCTTTTCCCCCTTCTTACTACAACCACCTTTCTCAAACCAAGCTTTGAATCTGCTCTGTTTAGGCCTCCCAGCCTTTCTTCTAGTGACAGGGGGACACAAGGTAAATTCTATTTCCACCTCAGGCCACTGAGATTGGTCAGTCAGTGCAGGAATCGGACTTGCATATGCAACTTTGAATTTTTGTACTGAATAATACTCATGCAAATATGGGTGCATATTTAACCTGGGTTTAGATGCCAAAAAAGTATGGAATGCTCACATGGTTTTCCAGTGTGTTGCCACTCTTGGCAAGTGCACTCATGCAACTCAGTATTTACCACATGCCTCTTGCCACTCTTTGTATCTCTAACTTCAGCACCCCACAAGGAAGATTTCTCAACAGATAGATGTGAAAGATTTCTACTCCTGTTGACCACCTGTTGTACCACTGCTGGAAGCTTGTCCCCTTCCAAAATATTAGCAATTTTTCCTCTCAACTCCCACAAACGCATGATCATGATTCTTATTTGGTCCACCATGTCATGCACAGACAAGTCTTTCAAATGCTTCACTTTGTTGTTAAAACTTTCTGCCAAGTTGTTATTGATATGATCACATTTTATGGCAGTATTAAAACCTGATCTATACCACAACAGAGAATGGTGGGTGTTCAACCATGAAGCAAATTCATTATCACTACATGATGCCAATATCTTACCAAGGTGATAGGAATGTGTCTGTCTGGTGTAGGATCTTGCTGCTGGCCACATGCGCCCAAATTCATCTCCTCTGAATTCTTTTATCAGATTCATCCACATATGTCCAAAGCACTCCCTCTGCTCAGCATGGGGGAAAACACTTTTTACTGCATTTTCCAACCCTTTACATGCATCTGTGTGGATGGCCAAAGGAGAAACTGGCCCTATGCATCTTTTCAGTTGCATCATGAACCATATCCATGATGCCTCTGTCTCTGATTGAAACATTCCTATTGCAATTGGGAACATCCAGTTGTGTCCATCTAGAGCATTGCATGCAGCCAACTGACCATTCCACTTTCCAGTCAAAAAAGATGAGTCTATGCTCAAATATGGACGACAACCTGCTTTGAATCCATCTATGCAAGGCTTCAAACACATAAAAAACTTGCTGAATAAAACCTTGCCATCCTCTGTTACCTCTGTATCTATCTCCACTACACTCCCAGGTGACCTCTTCTCCACCTCTGCTTTAAAACTATACAACATCCTAAATGTATTTGCCCAGTCACCATACAATGATTTCATGGCCCTTTGTTTTGCTTTCCACACTGTGGTATATTGCAGCTGGATGGGGTACAACTTCTCCAAGTCAACTTTAAGCCTCTTTGTAGTAGTGTTTGGAGTCTTGGCTAAAATAGGAGTAATCTTCTCTGTAACCCAAAGCTGTGATGTCATCTTTGAAACTCTCTGTGAAGTGGTCATACATGTATGCTGGTGTGGTATTTGATTTACCCTTACTGTACTTCCATCAGGTTGTAGTCTGGCAGACAAGTACCATTTGCAAGGATTGCCACCACCATCATAACCTTTGCACCGAGCATAAAATTTCTTTCGATCAGTCCACATAGTCTTGGCATCAAACTCTTTTTTCACTGCATAGGTCCTGAAAGACATCCTAAACTCCTTCATGCTTGGCCACAACTTTCCCACCTCAATAACTGGGTTCTCTTTGTCATACAAACAAACCAGCTCATTATCATCTGCATCATCCACATCATCTGCAGCCTCTCTCATCAGGTGTTCTTCATCCTCATTTGCATTTCTAGGGCCTATGTTACCTTCAGCTGGCAAAGAACTGTCATCCTTCTCCTTATCTTTGTCATCAACTTGAATGCCAAACATTTCGGCCATATCAATGTCAGATATTGGTGTAATGACCAAATCTGTTTTTTCATTCAACTCTACTACATTCCAGTCAACAACAATCTTCCTAGCACCATGGGTTCCCTCCTCTCCATCTGCATCAATCCCAGTATCTTCAGCTACTATAGTCGGTTCAGTCAACAATGCCAACATCTTCTTTTGTGAAACCCACTCATCATCTTCCATCTGTGCAGCCATCTTTGATGGCACATAACCAACTCTGGAATGAGTTTGCAGATCAATTAGCTCTGCATAAAATGTTACTTGTTTGCTTGCCCATCCTCCTTGCTGATCAATTTCAGCAACCATGGATTCTCCATCTTCAATTCTCACATATTCACCATTATAGTTATCGAAACGTTGTAGAGATACCTCTTGTTCTGGACCCCAAACAATACTCTCCCCAATTCTCTCCACCAAATTGCCCACGGCCTTCTCCTTCATGATCTCCAATTCCTGGGGATCAACATCTGCAAAATCGACATCCAACCTCACGGTGGTATCTCTATCAATGTCTTGGACACTGCCATCACTGAGCTTGGCTTTACAGGGAAAAAATTCCACTATAATTGCGAATGTGGTGGCAGAACCTGAACCTCCCCTGTTTTGTCAATGGCAGGCAGCGGCGGCAGTCACTACCAAATCGAGTTCGATTCTAAATCGCCAAGAAAAGAGGGTGGCATTACCGATTTGAAGCACTGTCTCCTCGGGGCAGCCCGTCTCCTCGCTCCATCTCATCTAGCCCTCGCTCCATCTCCTATCCAATCAAGCAACAGGGGCAGCATGAGGCCACAGATTTATTCAAAATTCAGTGGAATGGGAGTAGTGTTTGGAAAATACTCACTCGCAATAGCCGCTGCAGGGATAGGCGCTCCACCACCGGGCCGCGGAGAAGAAACAACCCCCGGATCCAATGGAGCCCGATTCTAAATCGCCAAGAAACAGAGGGCAGCATGAGGCCACAGATCCCCCAAAATTCTGGGGAGTGGGACTAGGGTTTCGGGCTCACCTCGCAATAGCTCTGCCGCTGCCGAGAAATGCGCTCCACCACCGCGGAGAAGAAACCACTGCCGGAGAAGATGCTTACGGCGGCGCCGCTCGCCCAGTCCAGCACGGGCGAGTCGAGCACGGTCACACAGTCACCGGTCGAGTCGTGGACGGTTGACTCTTGACTACGTGGCCATAGGTGGACCCCACCAGTCAGAGCACATAACCCCCAGTGTCCTAACCAAATCTCAGCCTAACGGACAGCCAACTAGCCGCGTAAATGGTGTGTCGCATGGGAGCTATTTTTTCCAACGAAGATGTCGCATGCAAGCTATTACAGCCAACGACGTCGCATGAGAGACAGTTCACACCAACGACGTCGCATGGGAGCTATTCACCCGTCAAATGGAGTCTTGTATGAATTTATGACGGCAGGAATGCTCGGCGGGTGCTGCTTTTATTTGTTCTTACCTCTTGTACTCGACGTCGACGGCGCCGAGCTTGGCGAGCCGCCCAGCCATGCCGGGGCGGGCCATGGCGGCGAACGCCGGGCTGCTCAGCACGAGGTCGGTGTCGTTCGTCTTCGTGCTGGCGCGGTCGGTGACGACGACCTTCACGCCGGCGGTGCTGCAGAGCTCCTCGTCCTTGCACCGCACCTGGAAGCACGCGCCGCAGCCGACGCCTTGTCTGTACAGGACCGGGCCCGCCCCGGCGAGCAGGTCGCCGTTGAGGGACGCGGCCGCCGCGCCGTACCCGCAGGAACCGGCTGCAAGACACGACAATCGAACAATCAGAATCATGCATGTGCCATGTCTAGGAGATATGTATGCGGGTGTATGAATCGTACCGGCGAGGGTGAGAGAGGGGGCGTAGTTGGCGGCTCTGGTGCGGTGCACGCAGCGGTCGCAGGCGGAGGCGGGCGGCGGGAAGGTGGAGAGGAAGAGGAGCGGGAGCACAAGGATGGAGCAGCGAGAGACGGCCATCGTCGTTTCCTTTCTTTTCTTGCGGGTGGTGGATCCGTGTGCCTGACGACTGCTTATATACACCACCACCACGACCTGCCACGGAGCACACCACTCAGGGTCTACAGCTACAACATCGGTGTTCTTGTTAACTGACTTAATTGTGATCCGTTACTTACCTTCAGGCACAACAGTATAATTAGGTCAGCTTAGAGAGCTCGAGAGATTATTATGGGAACATATCTACACAAACGAAACAAAGATTTTCTTTATTCTTTTTGAGAAAAGGCCTACATATTTTAAGCATCATATGTCTATACAAACACATCCATAGAGGAAAAATAAAATTACATTCAATCCTTGGGTGTGCTGAAGTCTTCTTTCTTCTATATCCACCGGCAGGTGTGCTGCGAGCATAGCTCGATGTCGCCTGTGAGCCTCCGTCTCAGTGGAGCAAACTTTTTAAAACCCACAAACTTGTAGAAGCGGCAGCCCGGAAGTCGTCAAAGCAAACTAGCAGACGCCGACGACTACGATCTGCAAAGCATCGCCACCCCGAAGAAGAAAACACCAATAAGAGCCTGTTAAAACTCTGAGGACCACAAAAGGTGGCTGAATCCACATGGATCCATCAAAATCTAAACCGGATGGATCTTGAAAGTCGAAACTACATTCCACACGCCCTCCGTCGAGGATAAGCACACAAAGGGATGGGAAAAGAGAGGGGAGATATCTTACACTCTTAAAAAGTTGATCCCAGTTCTCTCAGCGTGCAAAGTGTCCACCTCAACATCCCCACTAAGCCATGCATTTAAATCTTTTCTCCAACTAAGCTATGCAAAATATGTCACATAAACAAACTTATAAATTACAATTATTTTTCTATTAGTCTATGCATGCAATGTTGCCACATCATACATGATGTAAGTCATTCTTCACATTTTTTGTTCTAAATTATATTTTAACAGTAATTCAAAAGCTTTTATTCTATTTTAGACACTTTTTTAATTGATTTTGAAGCTTATATTTGTTTCCATTAGATTTAGTTATTTCTTAGCAACTACTCCCTCCGTCCCATAATGTAAGACATTTTTTGACATTAGTGTACATTATGGCATTATGGGACGGAGGGAGTATTTATGTATTTTTCACAAAATTACTACAGCAATGCGGGGGCCATCATCTATTTATTCCTAGACTAGAACAACACCACCATTTTGCCGTACCAGCCAAACTCGAAAGCTTTCTAAAGAAAACCTGAAAAGAAAAATACCCATGTCGTTTGCACGCACAGATGCCTCGGGAAGCCTGGTAAGACCATCTGGGTTATTGGCAGAATTAGCACCGCACCGATCGATCGCACTACGTCAATTCGATTTATCACTTGATGCTGCACGCAAGGTATAGGGCGCTTAATTTAGCATGCATGCACCTAATCTTTCAGGCCGCTGCAGAACTGCTCACAACTTTCGATTCAGTAAACCGTCCTCCTGTGTTGCTTTCCTTACGCATTAATTAATCTTTGCACTGTCCTGAAAGGGCACAGTTTGGACTGAACACGCGTAGAACAAGATCAGAATGCTCTGATTTGCATCCACCCAAATAAAATTAGGCCTAATGAGCTACACAAGCTATTCCAACATTCATGCGATTAGCGTGTGGATGCAGACATACTACATGGAGTTCAAGGACGTGCACATTTTGCTCATTTGCGTCACCCCTGTGCCTGAATTTTGGCCACGGTTTTCCAAATATGGAAAAATTGTTACGCGGTGCCACGGCGCCGCCCCTGGTTGGTGGCGGCGGATATACGTAGAGCGCACTCCGAGAGAATCTTGGTTTGGTTTCACCGGCCAGCACTACTTACATACATTTTGGCCAGTATACTACAAGTTTCATTGGCCATCGTTATCATACCGTGAGGAGTAGATGGTTCAGTTGCATTGATGAGTGGCTAATGTTAGAGCATCTACATCCGGACGTCTCATATACATTTTAGATGAACGAGCGGCCTAAGGGCATCTTCAACGTTGACCCGCAAGTTTTCTTCCGCATCCGTCCACAGCCAGGGAGACCAGTCTACGGACATGGATGCGGGAAGCGGCCGTCAAACGCTGCCTGCTTACATTTCAACAACTTCATGAACCAACCGGACGAAATTCGTGCAAACACGGTCGATTTCATACAAACCGGACGACATTCATGCAAACACGGCGGATTTTCATTAGATTTCGAACATTTAGAACAAAAAAACCATTCTAACTTGACCCTAAACCTGTCGGACGGCGGTGGCCGGCGTCCAAGCCCTTCTCGTCTTGCATCTGCCGTCTTCATGAGCACCGGCAATAAGACCGATGAAGTGAAGGTGCGGTCTGCGGTGAGGAAGAGTAGAACATAGGAGATGGACTGGCCTGCATGGAACACAAGGCCTTGCCGCCTCCCTCTCCCTACTCATCCTTGGAGGAGTCCGCGCCTTGTCCGTTGCAGGTGGACGTGAGATCCATGATGGAAATGGCGGCGCCCGCGCTCTCATCGTTCCACGCGGCCGCCCGATCGTCGACAGTGCGTAGGAGGCGCAACTGGCGTTGTTCTCGTCCGCGGTAGCCTGAAACTGCCTCATAGATCACACGTTGCTCCGTGACGCAGTTGGGGTTTGCCACAGATATGGCCGCCATGGCCTCCTCGCTCGCGCGCTCGCCGTCGATTTGGCCCTCCGCCAGCATGTGCTGCTCTAGGAGGAACATGTTGTACCGATGTTCCTCCTACGCCCGCTGGAATGCCGACATAGGCAACGACGTTGGCTGCTCCTCCACCAAGGTGGCGTTGTAGTGCACCTGCGCCTGCTCCATGGTGAAGCCGGCATGCATAGGCGCGGGCTCCGCTGCGGTGTCGTCAGAGCTCGTCTCCATCATGGGGTCATCCTCGTCGTCGGAGACCTGGAGCGAGCTGGCCGGCACGATGGCCTCGATCCGCCTGGCACGACGGCTCTGCCAGGTGGCCACAATGGTGGTCACCTCGTGCTTCATCTCCGTCAAAAGGCTCTCCCACAGAGCGTTGCCGCCTACATTCATGATGGATGTGGTGCAAGGGAGGGGGATGTTGAGCAGCTTGTGTTGTTCTGTGGAGTTATCCGAGTGTGGCCGCCTTGAAATAGCGGATTCCGGTGAGGCTAGGCGTCCGGGTGGGTCAATGCGCGGCGCTGGAGTGTGTTTCTCGGCCGACGAGCCTTCTTAATGATAGCATATAGACGAACGGGGCATTGAACAGGCATGGTAGATATCCTTCCCGTCCTGTCCAATAACGTATCCCCAGCATTGGACAGGCGCAGACAACAGGGATGCGTCGCGGGCGGCGCCCTCGGTTGGCACACCGCTTCAACAGCGGGACGAGCGAGAGGTTGCGTCTGCTATGGGCCAA